TCTAGGTAATTAATATTTCGTGTTTGAGTATTAGGGTCAACAAAATTAAAATGAAAAAATCGTTATAAGACATCTAAAATGTTCTTCTATATATAAATAGAGAAAAAAAGTTTATAGCATATTTAATGTGATAAAAAAAAGAGAAATAGAAAAGTGCCTAATTAAATGTTTATAGCATAAAAGATTTCATTATAAGTAATTATCTAATTTTTGACAAAGATTGATCACAAATAAAGAATTAATCAATAAGAATCAAATGAAGATATTGTGATTTAGATTCACACCTAAGTCAACCCTAAAAACCACTCTTCACACTCAACATTATTAATTTATATTGAGTATCTTATCGTACTGCGAATATGTGTTCTCAAAACGAAGAGGAAAAAGAAAAAACATAGAAGGAATTTATATATATATATATATATATATATATATATATATCAAATTATATATTTATATTCAAAGTTATGTAAAATAAAAAGAAATTACTTCATTTGCATTTGCATATTACTGTTTACGTTGAAATTTTGCATAATATGCATGTGACACCGAGAAACACTCAGAGATCATCAAGTCAATAAATAACACTGGACTATCCCACTAAAAATAAGTCAAAAAAGATTATTAAGAATTAAAAAATACCAAATCTTAATTTACTTGGATCATTGGTTTTGTTTTTTATTATTAGATTTAAACTCTAAATCCTAACCATACCCATTTTTTCAGATACAATATTATGCTCATAATATTAAATATTATTATAGGTAATATTTTTGTTTTTCAAATATATTCAGAGCTCCAATTCAGTATCATTAATTATAGAAATAATCATATGGTTAATTAGGTGGTTAAATTAATTTTTAGATGAACATATCCGATATCAAATCATAAAAATAAACTTCAGCTATCAAGTTGAATCTATTGATATATAATATTAAACTTCCAATTCGATTGAGCTGTTTGGATTGAATTAGATTATTCAATTTCTATATCTTTCCTTTTTGTAATTAATATTCAACAGACTTGAAATATACAACAATCAAAACTAAAATTAGTCAAAACAAACTTCATTTAAAAGAAAAAACAGAAAATAGTTAAATGGTGTGAGTTTTCTCTCTTCTTTTTTAAACAAAATAGCCAATTATTTAAATACATAATATAATAATTGATTATATAATAATAATCAAAATGTTTGAAATTTTTTATATATTTGAATTGACTTTGTCCTTTATTAGATTAGATTGATATACCATATATGAATATTTAATTAATTAGTGGTTGTTGCTAAGTCGAAACTATATATATTATTTTATATATCAAAATTTACGTGTTATGAGACTTTTGTTTAGAGGTAGGAGTGACGAATTTTTGGGTGATTTTTCTCTTTTTATCTTTTCATATAAAGTTGATGGTTGTTATATAAGATTGTTTTTAATCACAGTTCGAATAGATTTTGGATTAAAACTGATTTTATTTGAGTTGTAACACGCTTTTAAATATGTAAAGTTTGTTACTTGGAACATTTGGGATTGAAGATTGAAAATTTTAGAGTTGAGAAATACTATAAAAATTTATGTCTTTCATATTTGTTGACAAAGCAACAAATATGCTTGTTATTTTGCTAATACATGAATTTATAACAAGTTGTCATTGGTTTGGTTTTTCATATTATCTGGCATTAATCTTAAATTTTGCCTAATCGGTATAACTTTCCTGAATATAAGTTCTCGTAACTTATTTTTGTTGTATTTGAATAATTTCTCATTAGTAAAATTTTATGTAACATGATAAATTATTTAATTTTTTTATTTCATAAAACAAATTATAAAAATAAACAAAGAAAGAAAATAAAAAAAAGTTTTTTTTTAATTTATTAAAAAAACTTTTAATAGATAAAGAACTCTAATGTGAGTTGTTCCTATTGGATGTGCTATCTATTTTTCATTTTTTTTTCAATTTAAATTTACTATTGGAAAGTTATCCCAAAATAAAATTTAGCTAACTAATAATAATAACAAAACAATTATCTGTATACGGTTTTTATTTTAAAATAGTTAAATAAAATTTTCTTTATTTTCAATTTAAAATTAATTTATATAGTCCTTATATATTTTTTATAAATAATATATTTGCGTAGAATATACTCAAATTACATAATATAAATTTAACAGTTTGTTCAGTCTTTACCCGTCTCAAAAAGTACACAAATAAAAGATTATATCTTTATCGATAATTATACGTGAATTATTATTGAAAAAAACACAATAACAATTTTAAAATTATTTTTAACATTTTAACAATCGTTCATTTATTACAGTAACAATTATAAATATAACATGCAAAAATGCAAAACACCAACGTATATCAATAATTATATTTATAATCGTTGTCATATATTTAATATTTTAACGATAATTCTTTTATAATTATTTATATATATATATATATATATTAATAAAATAACCGTTGTTATAGGTCACTTAGGATGATAATTATTTACATAATTGTCATCATATATTTCATTAAAATTTTCAATTTTGTCTATTTTGTTTATTTTATCTTTGCGTTTCTATTTCTCTTTCTTTCTTTTTTTCTTTTTTTTTTCTTTTCCTCCTCTTTTACAATTTTTCTCTTCCTTTATCTATTGTGATTAAACTTTTTTTTTTCTTTCTTTCTTTATCAAAATGTTTCTCTTCAATGTATATCGTTAATATCTCCACCATATATCTCTAATACATCTAAAGTTGTCATAAGAGTTTAGGGTTTTGCTTGAGGCAAATGTAAAAAACAATGTTTTATTAAGGTGGAGGTAGAGGAAAATGTTTTACTGGATATGTTGAAACTAAGTTGCGATAAAACAATAAGAGAGTAATAGAAACTTCCGTTGTGGAGGAATAACAATGAGAGAACAGAGTTGTCATGATGGATATTCTAAGTTTGTGTTGCTTATCTGTCTGTTGTGATGCTTCTAAGTTTGTTGTGGACATGTTGAAACTGAGTTGCGATAGAACAATAAAAGAGTAATAGAAGCTTCCGTTGTGGAGGAGAATGAAAAAGAAGAGTTGTCATGATGGATATTCTAAATTTGTTATATTGCTTATCTGTCTATTATGACCCTTCTAAATTTATTACGTAGGAACAACTTATAAATTTGTTATTTATTATAACGAAGCTTTTAGATTTATTACGAACAAATAAAATAGAATTTTTAACATATGACGATTATAAATATAATCGTATGAATAATATGTTATAACTATTCAAAAAATGTTGTTATAGCTTTTTTAATCATAAAAAAAAGATTATTTCTAATAATAAAGACAATGTTATTGGTTAAAAGTAACACAACAAGCTCACCGCTTAAAATTGGGATTTACTTTTCAATTTTTAAATTATATATATATATATATATATATATATATATATATTAAGAATATAAATAAATATTTTTTATAATTTTTATTAAATAAGTTGAAAAGGATATATAGTTACGTATAACATTAATAATTTAAATATAAATATTATAATACTATTATATATTTGTATTATTTAAATAATACCTTATATAAAAATATAATTTTTAAAATTATTATTTATTTTATTTTTATTTTAATAAAAAAATCCACGTATTAAAATTATTCCATCTCGTTTTTAATTGGATTGTTAGATTAAACAAAATAAATTAAAAAAAGTTGGTCGACTAAAAATATCATTTGGAATTTGATCTCAGACTAACAGACAGGTCAGTCCCGGTTTTATCATCCTACGATTCCATCATCATGAAATAAAATTTAATTAGATGAACTATTCTTAAAATTTATTCTAGAATTTTAATTATTTTTTACAAATTTTTTGATGAAAAATTATTTAAATTTGTAGAAAATTTATTTCTTATAATTTTAACAAAAATTTTGCAAAAATTTTGCATCAAATATGAGAATTTATAGTAGTGGTTGTCAAAATAAAAGATTTTTAAATTAAATAGTTCTCATAAAAAAACTTTAATAACTTATTTATATATGTCAAAATTAAAATAATATATATTTTTTAAACATATATAATTTATTTAATTATTATCTTATCATTATTTTTTAATAATTTGACATAAATAATATAATATAATATTATATCGTACATAAATTATATTATTTAATTGATAAAAGTTATATTATATAGCAATTTTATCATATAATATAATAATATTTGCCTGATGGTAGTATTATATTATTGTGAAAGTAATGATTAAAAAAAAAAGTTCACAAGAGAGAAATAAATTACAATAAGATAAACAATATGAAAAAAAGGTTAAAAATTTTATAAAATTTATTTAATTATTATCTTCAGATAAAAAATATATTAATAAAAAATTTGAATTTAAGATTATATATGCACACAATCCAAACCCTCCACCATTAGATCAATCTTAATTGATTATTCTATTTATGAAAATTTCCTTTAGATCACTGTATTACGTGGGTGTGTGAAGTGAAGAGAAAAAAAGTACAAAGTTGGAAAAAAATAAGGAAAAAGGAGAAAGTGACATATACCACAATGCAATAAGAAATGAACATAAAAATAGGAAGAATAAAAAAAGTAAAAATAGGAAAACAAATGAGCTAAAAAAAGAGAAATAGAAAATGTATTTCCGAGTATAATTATTGTATATTTGGCTCGTGGTCGCATTGGTCCTTCCACACGTGATGAACTTTATGAAATGATAAGAGAGCACGCAAACAATTAGAGTTCCACCAACACAATTCCATTTTTAACTTATTTTGTTTTTTCAGTCTTCGTTCAGTTTTGAAGTTCGAAATAAACTTTTCTTCCTCATCGTCTACATAACCTCACATCTTCGTGCCCTATAAATATCCTTCACTCTCTCCCATTTCCTCCTCACCAGCACTTGTTTGCTAACATAGCTATACCACGTACAATTTCCAAAGCCTTTGCTACTCAAACTAGAGTGTGATCATACACCTTCTGTAGAAATTAACATTAACATGGATTTTAGCCAACAGCTTCTGTCCAAGATTGCCACCAGTGACAAACATGGAGAGAATTCTCCATATTTTGATGGGTGGAAAGCATATGAGAGAAACCCATTTCACCCAACAAAAAATCCTCAAGGTGTTATCCAGATGGGTCTTGCTGAAAATCAAGTATGTTTGTTTCTCCATACAAATTAGTATTGTTGCAGCTAAGGCACCACGAAATGCAATTGTTAGTTTTGATTATGAGTTTACTCATATGGGTGTTCGTTTTTTTTTGCTGGTTTCTCTTTTCCAGCTAAGCTTTGATCTGATTGAAGAGTGGATTTTGAGTAATCCCGAGGCCTCCATTTGCACTCCTGAAGGAGTGCATCAGTTCAGAAATGTTGCCAACTTTCAGGACTATCACGGGTTGCAGGAGTTCAGAAATGTAAGTCAGGGAAATCAATGAAACACAAAAGAATGAATTAATCTTCTCACGTAAAGTTTCATTTTGTTAATTTCTATCATACCGATACAAATATAAACATTAAATAAGAAGTATAAATGTTGAAAAAATCCAAGACTTTCTTGGTTCAGTAAGTAAAAGATCAGAAGAAAGATTATGACGAGTGAGAGTGGTGTGTTGTTAACAAGAAATGTTATTTGGCTTTTGATTTTTCAGGGTATTGCAAATTGGATGTCAAAGGTGAGAGGAGGTAGGGTCAGGTTTGATCCAGACCGTATATTGATGAGTGGAGGGGCAACAGGAGCAAACGAGCTAATTATGTTCTGCTTGGCTGATCCTGGAGATGCCTTTATGATTCCCACCCCATTTTACCCAGCGTATGTACCTTCTCTTCCATAAAATCTGTGTTCATTCAATGAATGTCACTGTTACTCACTATCCAATGCTTAAAGTGGAAAAAGAAAAGCACGCATTTACAAAGCCTTATAATCATATGTTGTCTTTTGATTTAAGGCGAAATTCAATGTCTTCACATTCTACTTATTTTAATTTGAAAAGCTTTTCTCAATATTTCTTTTTTGTCTCTAAACCATTGAAACCCTTCAATTTAGATGTAAATAATATAGTTTAGAGTGATGTTTTTTTTTTAAATGAGCATTTTATGTATATCTGCTCACATGGTTTAATTCTGGAATACTGTCGAATTAGCCTGATATCTTGACAGATTACGTTATCTAAAGATGCCACGTTTAAACATGAATGAAACGATTAAGCACGGTGTGCATAGTGCGAAGTTAGTCAACAAGCGTATGTGTTTTCGTTCACATATGTTAAGTCCAAATTAGACATTTCATGATGTAAAGTGGATTATGACTATACATTGACATTCAAAATGAAACCATGAACATCTGTTTAGAATCACCTCGTATTCAAACAGGATCGTCAGCACAACCCATAATTACACACACATGCAGCTCTATTTGTGGAAATTCGGTCAAATTTCTTGACAATTATCAAGTTTAGAGAAAAAAAGGAAAGTCATGCCATGTTATTAATTTTTTATTTTCAAGGAATTTCCTGTTGCACTAAACGCAACTTTCTTCTTTTTTTAACTGATTAATTTCTGCATTGATGCATTTGAATTTACAATTAATTTGCTTTACAATTCTATTTTTCATTGAAAATGACTGTTTAAAACTTTATTAAGAGTGTTGTAACTCTGTCTCCAGCTACCCACTTAGTGCATGGACCACAATGCATATTATTATATATATAATACACAATGGCTGAGAATCGGTCAAAGGAGAATTAAACCTAATAGATTATTAGACTCGTATTATTATAATATATTATGATGTGATTAGGAGGTGGAAAAATTAATTAATAACGTCTTATCATTTTAACATATGGTGACAATGATTACCTAAGCACATACTTACACAACACACAGATTGACATATATGCTTAACAGAGTGATAAAGATTGATATATTTTCATATTTTACTTCAGATTCGTTCGTGATTTGTGTTGGAGAACGGGGGTGCAGTTAATTCCTGTTCACTGTCATAGTTCCAACAACTTCAAGATAACAAGAGAAGCTCTTGAAGAAGCATACAAAAAGGCCAAAGAGGATAACATCAACGTTAAGGGTTTGATCATAACAAACCCATCTAACCCTTTGGGCACTACCTTAGACAAGGACACGTTGAAGAGTCTAGTGAGCTTCATCAACGAGAAAAACATCCACTTTGTTTGTGATGAAATCTATGCAGCAACTGTGTTCAGTAGTTCCCCCAGTTATGTAAGCGTGGCTGAAGTGATCCAAGAAATGGAACATTGCAACCGCGACCTAATTCATGTCATTTATAGTTTGTCCAAAGACATGGGGTTCCCTGGTTTCAGAGTTGGCATAGTTTATTCATTCAATGATGAAGTGGTGAGTTGTGGAAGGAAAATGTCTAGCTTCGGGTTAATCTCATCGCAAACTCAACACATGCTGGCTTCAATGCTTTCGGATGAAAAGTTTGTAACGAAGTTTCTTTCTGAGAATTCAAGAAGGTTAGAAGAAAGGCACGACAAGTTCATGAAGGGGCTTGAAGAGGTTAACATTACTCGATTTCCTAGCAATGCAGGAATTTTCTGCTGGATGAACTTGAAGAGTTTGTTGAAGGAACCAACGTTTGAAGCTGAGTTGAAGCTGTGGCGTGTGATTATTAACGAGGTGAAGCTCAATGTGTCACCAGGCTCTTCTTTCGACTGTTCTGAGCCTGGTTGGTTTAGGGTTTGCTTTGCCAACATGGATGATGAAACAATGGATATTGCACTCAACAGGATTCGTGCATTCGTGGGGAAAGAAACAAAGAAGCCAGTGGGACTGAAACGTTGGCAACCGAATCTCAGGCTCAGTTTTTCTTCAAGGAGGTTTGATGAGAGTGTTATGTCTCCCCATTCACCTATTGCATCACCTCTTGTCCAAGCCACTTGAATATTGGACCAGGGTTCTGCATGAGCATCTCTATCTGTTCAAGAATAATGAGATTGTCCGATTATACATGTCTTTGAAATTAATTAACCTAGCTAGATATGATTTTGTTTTTCTTTTGCAAATGGGGTTTTGCTTTTCCTAATGATCTAGAGGGTGCTTAGGGTATTTTCACGTGTAGGTTGCCCTAAAGGGCTAACTGTGAAGTAGCTAGGGTGACTGAAACTATACGTGCATTGAGGTGATACATGATTGGACTAAATTTGGCTATATATTTTATATTTAGAGAAACTTTGATTTCTCCACCTATGTAGCATACATGCATGAACCAAATAATGATTCAGTTAATCAATAATAGTGTGTGTTTATCTATCGTTTCATATATTGTTAACACATTCCTTCACAGAAAAATATTTTAAAGAATCATTATAAGATCGATTAACAAAAATGGCATCATGTTCATTTTACGACACATGTTAACATAATCCAAGAATAATAATTAATACGGTTTAATTATATATATTAAATAATATTATATGGAAAATCCAAGGTCATTATTTCGTCCCTTAAGGTGTGAAAGGGTGCTAAGTGTCTTAGTTTCATTGTGCATATCTACTCATCCAGTCCAAACAAAAATATTAAACTATTAAAGTATGACTATTACCAACTTATATACTCTTATTGAATGCACCACGACTCATTATATACCACAAGCTTGTTGACTGATACTACACGCTAGTCAATTTGTATTTTTTTTATTAAAATAAATTATGTTTGAAGTTATTCTAATTATATATTAATGAGAAGTTGAAAGTATTTGAGGACAGCTATTTGAAAAAAGGTTTGCAGCTTTTTCAATGGTTAATGAAATACACCTCTCTATATTTTTTAATAAAAAATTCGTTTCTTTCTCATTAAATTTAAAACGAAATTAATTGCTTATTTTAAAGTTATACTCCTACTTTCACATATGAGTTTTTAATTATTTTACCTATTTATCATGAAACTAAAGAGAGAGAATTGAAAAATAATGCAAGACCCAGAAGATATAAATTAATAAATTAGATGAAGGATATAGTATAATAAAAAAAAACGTTAGATGTATTTTTTAATACATGTGCCAACACCTAAGTTAAAAGATAATGGAGTTTATGGTTACTTTTTTATTCTTTTTAAGTTTTCTTTGGAAGCATAAAACATGTAAATACTTATTATAAAAGGTAAATGCTTATGTTGAGAAACAATCCGGCCCTAGCTAGCTGTAGAATCCCATGTATGAAACAAAATCTTTTGTCAAGATTAAGGTATATGCACTTGATGGATATTGAAAACAACAAGAGTTTGCTTTTGTTACAACTTGGGATTCTTGTTCTGATACGTGTAATTTCATGAGGGGTGACCAATAAATGTCCCTAGTGAGACCATGGCTTTTCAATTGTAGTGTAGTGGATTATAATTTGTTGGTTCCTTTTCCTTCATTTGGTCGGAGAGCAAAGTTAAAGGAAAGGTCTATCGAGCGTTAACTTTTCAGGTCTTTTTCCACCATGGGAAGGGGACATTGTGACCCACACACTATGAACACATTCTGAGTTTCCATTGCATTGCATATCAAAATTCAACTCTATGTCTCTGAAACCAAACCAAACCAAGTCTTCGCATGAAGTTGATAACTCACAACTGGGTCTGAGTGGCAAACAAAATCTAAGCTACCCAACTGTTGTGATTTTTCTTGGAATTGACTCCTGTAATTGGGAGCTTTTCTTGTCGTCTGGGACATGTTTATTCTTCCTGTTCCTGACAGTGATCTCACACTGTTAGAACATACATGCACTAAGTACGTGAACTATTTGCAGAAATTTTTTATGATGTGCTCTAAGCACGTCATTTTAATAAAAAAAATTTGCAGAAATTTATAGTGTACTTAAAGTGGTGCTACTTTAATGCTTCAGGCTCCACCAATGCTCACTTCTTTGAATCGTGAACCAGAATGTATGGTTACAATTTAGAAAAAAACACACCAAATATCTAAGTGATGATATATACACTCATACCCGAAGCTGAATAGAAATTTCGTTTGGAATGAAAGAGTGTCTCATCTGGGCCACTTAACAATTGCAGGTTTTGCAACTTGTCCTCCTCATGATTATCATATATTTGATGTCTTCCAAATAGACGAGAAAACAAAAAGAAATGTACAGATTTTTATGGGTTTGATCGAAGAGAAATATTCACTAAACTTTTGAAAAACTTACTGTACTCAATTTTTTACACCTAAAAATGAGAAGAATTTATAATGCAAATTTTTGTTGATACTATTATTATCCTTCCTCCCTCCAACATACTATTAATTAAGAATATTGAGTCATATTAATTAATATTAATTTCTTTAACATGTTATTGCTTACTTTTTATTTTATTTTTCTCAGTCAAATAATCTTTATTTATTTTTTTCTTATTTCTTCATTTATTTTCTACATATTTCTTCATTTTTACCAAACGTATTGACTATGTTTTATTCACCTGCCAAGTCTGTAGAATGAAGTGAGTGAAAAGATAAAAAAAAAAAAAGGAATAAAAATCACGAGTGGAAAGAAAAGAAGGCGTGGATAATATGATAAAAGGAAAGCAAGAATATATATATATATATATATATATATATATATATATATATATATATATATATATTAATGGAGCTTATAACTTCCATCGTTCATTTAAGTTTATCATTTGTTATTATATTATTACACCTGATTTTAGTTCTTAGAATATTTAAGCAATTCAAATTGATATTTAAAAAAAAGGAAGTTTCTTATAGAAAACATTTTGTTTTAAATTTCTTAAAATAAATTACAGAGCATACATATACTAATTGCATTTTTGAAGTTTGCAAAATTTGTTTAAAATAATCTTAGAAATTAATGTAGATAAAATTATTTTTTATCTTAAATATCTTTACGTTAAAATTTTATATTTTAAAATTTTTTAACTTTATAGTTTTTCAATTTAAAAACTATATTTAAGTTAGAAAAAATTTCTGTAAATAATCTAAAATTTTGGAATTGAAAAGGAGGGGGGGGGGGGGAATGAAGTTCTTAAATCATCTTATGTTCTTGCTTTTAAATACACTTTTTTTCCTCCATAAACTTGCCTTTAAATGTATGAACATTTATACTCTTAATTTATTGTCAAATCTATTAATGAGACATTCAATAAATTTTTTTATAAAAATAGATATTTTATTGAGTTATTAATAATATAATTCATGAGTATATGTGTGCACATACAAGGCTTTATAGTAGTACTTTTAAATAAATAAATTACTTAATTTTATCAATACTTTTAAATAAAATTTAAACCTATATAATACTATTAAATTCGCATTATAACAAATCTATTAAATATTTACTAATTTAAATCCAATAAATATTTAGTCATTATATAATAAATTAAAAATTATTTTAGTTAAATTAGTTTTGTTAATAGAATCTAAGTTGATCTCTAACTCGAGTTATTAAAATTTTAGCAACCAATTCAAAATTGGTCTCTAATCTCTATTACTTAAACTTTTTAATTATATATATATATATATATATATATATATATATATATATATATATATATATATATATATATATATGTTCAGTCTTACTTTTTACTACTTTCAGTCACATATATAAGAAATAAATATTTAATTCACCAAAAGTAATACAAATAATTGATTTTAATGACTTTGATTCACCAAATATAATGACTTTGACTTTGATTTTTATCATTATAAAAATTATTTAAATTTTAAAAAATATATTATTTTTCTCCCCAAACTCTTCTCTGCTAATAAAACAAGAGGGTCATTTTCCCAGTTATTTTTTCTCCTTCGTCCAGTTAGGCCAAAATCAAATAAGAAAATCTTGTTGGCATTTTTTCTCTGGCATGTTTCTATGAACCAACGTAGCGTGAGGGTTTAAGGAAGAAAATTAAAATGAATTCAAGCATTAGTCTCCACTCTAGCTGTCATCGACTAGCTTAGACCAAAAGCAAGAACAAACGCAGGCAGTGGGGAAGTCAAGAACAAGCATTTCTTACCCAAAACATCTCTTTGATCTCAATCCATTCAATTCATTAGGGCTTTTTAGGTTTAGTCAATTACAGAACCAAAGTAATACTCATCCATTGACTTCGTTTTTGCATGCTTTTCAAATGATCAACAAAATCAACATATATCTTATCCCAGAATTTTCATTTATCATTTATACATCATCAAAAAAATACAATCATTTTCTCAGTTTTTAAAAGTTATATGATAAGTAAAAGAAAAGAAGCTGCAAGAAAAAAACCTGGGTCAAGAACAAACAAAAAGAGACCCAAAGATGTACGGTATCCAAGAAACGTAACATCCACACAGGAATCTAAGTACGCATGCAGAAGTTATAAACGCAAGAAAAATAAATATTAGATGAATAAAAAACACAGATTACGTGTTTCAACCGATTATCTTAGAAACAGATCAATGTGACTTATATTTACAGAAGATGGTAATCTTATTATCAATATACAGAAGAAAATTCTTTGATTTTTATTCGTTTTACGTTAAAAAACACACACACACGCACTGTGTTTATCTGTTGATTATTCATATATTTTCTTTCATCTCTTTTATCTTTATATTCTGACTTCCTTCTGTACCCACCATTTTTTTTTCTTTTTTCTAGTAAGAGGTCTAAGCCCAATATACATAAAGTCAAGTGATTAGAAGGTTATAACTTAAGACTTACCAAAACACATATGTAATCATGTTTATAAAACTCGTGAGTTAACTCGTAAGTTAACAAATTAAATAATTGGTTACGAGTTAATTCGTGAGTAGATTCGTTTTAGAGTAGACTTGGAGTCCAATTCGATGTACTCCGTAGACTCTAAGTAAAATTTCCAGTTAGAGATGAATTGGCGAGTTTAAAGAAAAAGAAAAATTTAGATCTTTTTTTACTCTCTTTATTTCTTCTTAC